AATTGATAACACTACTAATACGATAGAAATAACGATAATAACAATGTAGTAATGATTGTAATAATAATAGTTACCATTATTACTAGTATTAACTCACTGTAATGATACGTAGTCTTAATTTGCTGCTCACTTTATTAATCCTAATTTTCATGACAGTCAAGTAGGACTAATAATTAATAATTAGAATAAATAATAAGCAATCACTGATAATTAATTTGATATGTATCTAAAGCAAAAAGTAATAAATTTAAAGTCTATTTTACTTTATTTTCACTCTTTGTTCACCTATACATTCTGTACCCATATTGATTTATGTGTGCTGAATTTGAGTAGTCAGAATTATCTTCTTCATATATCGTTTATTCGTTGAATTTCAGATGCCTGGAAAAGATATCGAAGACTCAGTTGTGAATCCAACCGCTGGTGAAATTAAATCCAATGTGCCTAGAAATACCTCGTTAAATCGTTTTCAGGTAATTTGTGCTCAGTAATTACACGTTTTCACTTTTTTTCACTTTAGTTGAAATAACCTCACAATTTTTTATACTTCCACAAAAATATCTCAACTTCAATAGTTTTTCATTATGGTTATTGAACTATTTTTCTTTCAGTATTTTATTAAAATTATTATAATTCCTTTACTTATATACATTATAATCAATTATAATTGATCGTAATTTTCTCTCCAATAATTTTGCAAAGTAACAATCGCTACTTTTTATTGCATTTGTTAAATTTTCATTGCAAATAATTTAATGTTTAAAGACAAAATATGAATTTTATCAAAAAATCGAAGATTTTTGAAATTTTGAAAAAAAAAGCACCACTGCTCTAATACAATAATGGCAAACTATTTCTATGTAGTAAAAGTACTGTATAAAATGGAAATACCATAAAAATATGCTTTTCCCGAAAATAAAATACCGTAATAATGTCTTAGTATTTTATAAAAATGCGCAAAATATGCAAGTACTCTGAAAGTGCGACTATACCAAATGTTTGTTTGTTTTGCGATGAAAAGCTAACCGATGAAAATTTTTGTAATTCGTACTGATTTTATCTTTGGCAATTTTAATCTTTGCTTTATAAAAATGTTTTTTAAGGGTTGCTTTTGATCAAATCTTACAGAACTAACTAATTTTTTACAGTATTTTGTTTTTGCAAATTTTCCACTTACTTATTTCTGATTAATAAGTGTTAATTTTCAAAATGTGTATCGTTATTATAGATTGAAAAACCAGTTTTTGTATTGAAAAATGTGAATTTTTCAGGGTCACAAAAAAAACGTGAACTTATAAAATTTATTAAATGTTATCAAAAATTTTTTCCGGACTTTCCGAGTTTTATATCATTTATGATGTAGTGCATTGTACTACTTGTTATACACGAATTACTATTCATTGGAAAAATCATAATATGTGGTTTAATTTGGAGACATTGGGATTGTTATAGCTTTAAAAGAAATTCCAATTATTGTAATACGTAAAAATTATCAGATTTTAATTTGTGTACAAAAAATTTCGGTGCAAAAATATAGTAAAAGTTTTTATTTTTACTTTTTAAAATGAAACGTTTATAAAAATAAAACAATATTACTTCATAAAAATACCAAAAAAGGTGATTTTCATGCAGTATATAAATACTACTAATATTTTCTCTATGTTATGATGAATTCTGACGATAATACCACAGAGCATTTATGATAAAGCAATGATATTTGTTAATGATCTACAAACAAAATTTGAATTTAATGACTTAAAAACTGAATAAATTGGTCAATCTATTAATGAAAAAATATATTACAATACGCTTTGATAAAAATATCACTTTGTAAACTCAGTTTAACTTTGACTAATTTTTGCAAATATTTTTTAGCTCGAAACAAATGCATTTTTAATTAATAATCATAAATAATAAATGTATCGCTTACTTTAGTTCTTTTATAATATCAGATTTTTATGATTATTAATAATTAAGCTATTTTGGATTTACAATAAGGATGCACATAATCATAATTTGCATTCTCTATTGGTTTTAAATTTTGGAATAATTTTTAGCGTGAACTTAAAATCTATCTTGAATTGCTCAGTCAGCATATTCTGTTTGCTATCGTTACTGTTCTTAAGGTTTTGAAACTTGAAGTAGACTCAGATGAAATTGTTCCATCGTGTTCATCGTCATCAGTGGCGATTAGCGCGGTGAAATTGAATAAAGCTGCTAGTGAACCACCAACTTCAGCCGCAAGTTCGATTATCCAACGGAAAGTAAGCGCAACTGGTCGTTTCGAAGTAAGTATACTTTCATATAATTCTAATAGCAGTAATAATTATAATAATGATGATAAGAACTATTATTAGTTCGAATTAAAAATGATTAGTTTATTGTAGCAAAAGAGTAATACTTATCAGTGGTTGATATTAAAAGGTTTAAAGCTCTGATTATATGAATTAATTATGGCATTAAGATTTCAATTAGGATTTTTAATCATAAAAGTGATGATGATAATAATAGTAATATTGATAGTAATGATAATAATAATTAATTAAATCAATTAAAAATAAATAAATGAGTGGCATATATGTCTCAGTTTGAAGGATAAGTAATGATTTACTTTGTTATATTTTATAAAAAAATTCCAAAACTGAGATGGGGTCACTTGGATGTTGTTCAAATTTGCCATAAATAAAATATATGCACGATTACGAATGTTTATATTGTCATCTTATTTCTGCGAAAAATTTATTCATGGAAAGCACATAAATACAAAAGTGCTCAAACGAATAGTTCGGCTAAAAGTTTTGAATTACTGAATATTGTATTTAAATTATGACATAAAAGCCTAAGAATTACAGCAACAAAAATAGTTGTCATTTCGACAAAATTACACAAAGCAGTCTATTTCATGCTCCTCGCCATTGGTTAATTTATGCAGAAATTTGATTATGAATTTGAGAAAAACTTTTTTGAATAAGCTTTCTACCTCAAATATATGCAAAATTAGCATAAGGAAAGTGCAGAGAAAATAAAAAAGTTATTTGAGATGACAAAAAGTATGATTTTTTATTTCAAATATGTCTTAATTGACTTGATAATTATTATTACTTTATGAAAAAATAATGATTATTTTGTAATAATAATCGTTATGTTATTATAATAATAATAATAATTAGCTGAGGCATCTATGCTATTTATTTATTTTTAATTGATTTCTTGATTTGATTTTTTTATTTCCGTTCATACTTTGTGTTCATACTAAAAATCATTCAGTTATTACAGTTTTATAAGCTCAAGTATTTGTCAATTGATTAATAAGTATAATCATAACATCCATAGAGCACTATTTGTTACGTTAAATGATCTTCTGAAAGTATGACATTTTACACTTTGTCAGCCAAAATAAAGCTTAATTTTCATGAATTATAATTTTGACAAATAATTTATCCATTTTGACATTTCAGTCACTCAAAAATTTGTATTGCACAAAAGTTTGCAGTCAAATAGAAGAAAATTTTTAGTCACAAACATTTTGTTCACAACAAATTTTCTTCAAAGATGTAATAAAAATTTGCGTTTTCCTAAGCTTTATGTGTCAGATGCATGTTTTTCGTATTGCAATAAAGAATCGTTTCAGGAGTTTTGCCTTGCCATATTCTACTTGCCTATTATAGTATTTGCATAAATTATCATAAATAGTTACTTTATACACGTTAAAGTTTCGAGCAGTTTGAGTAGTTCTATTCTAACATTCCTTGGATTGTTGAATGAAAGTATTTACTTAAGTATTTATTACTTGTCTTTATTATATATCTTTTAATATATCTATTATACATTATAAAAATAACTTGCTTTAACTGAATGAAAATTTTGTTGTTTCTCAACAACTTGTAAAATTCATTTTCGATGACTATTGAAGGTCATCGTCAACATACTTAACGATACTTATCAGTTTTGCATATTTTGCGATTTTAATATAAATTTCTGGCAGTTCATTACTTCTTGATTTGTTTGTGTCGTACATTATTCATTTGTGATGCATTTTTTATTATAAAACTTTATAATTCAGAAAGTTTTATTTTTGTTTATTACTTATTTAACGTAATTAATAACTGAACATGAAGCTGACAGTTTAAGCTGGAATAAATACTTATAAATAAATACTTAGACTATAAATGTTTTTTCAGAAATTTTAAGCAGTAGTACTTATCAGTGCATATCTAAAAAGTAAACTGTGCAGTGTCTGCTGTACTATTTGACTGAATATAAGTCATAGTTTAGTATAATGATTGTTGGAAAAATTATTTTATGGGAATGTGTTAGGCTTAATAATATAAAATATGGATGCAGAATTTATATATCACTGCAAAATTCTATTTAATAAGTAAATCGTTTTAAATTCGTTACTAGTACTCCACAGCTATTATTAAAGAATTTAAAAACTAATTCAAATTTTGGGGTAAAAAAATTTGTACAAAAAATTGAAGAGTTTTTGCTCTCAATTTTTGAGCTTTGCTGTAACATAAGCAGTATAATATTCGTATTTATTAATTTTACTAATAATCGTATTTATTAATCAAAGATTACTGAACTTCTATAACTTAACTGTAGTGGAATTAATCACTATACATATTCTAATAACGAATATGATAGTATAGCAATAATGGTAATGAATACAGCAGTGTCTGAAATAATGAATATATCGGTAATTGAATACAATAATAGCAGTAACAAAAAATCGAAAATGTAATCTAATAAGTACGATATTGAAAGAAATGATTGATAAACATTATTATTGATGATTAAAATTAATAATATGATGGTACTACTGTAATGATAGGAAATGAGTTAAAGTATATGGTAATAAGATTGTAATATAATAGTTGTAAAAATATGGCAATATTTTGAGTTTCAATTATATCTGCTCAAAATTTTAAGGTGCTGTCTAATAAAGGAGGTCTCAGTGAAGCACTTTCTGATATGATAGAAGAAACTTCTCCACCAGTAACAACTGATGGCATTACTACGGTGAATGAATCTGACCGTAACTCAAGCACTAGTGACACTACTGCAAATGAGCGTACTGTGAGGTTTACAGTAAACAGTGATGCCTATTATCGACAAGAATTTGTTGGTGATCTAGAAGAACATTCTGCTACAATTAATTTGAAAAGCTGGAGGTTTAATTTTAGTAACACTGTAAAGTTGTAGTACTGAATTCATGAAACTGTTTCTTCACTATCAACAGCAAGGCTTACTTTTCAGCTGTGTAAATTTCGTAGATTCAAATTTGTTTTTATGATTTATTTTGCGATTAACTCGAGCTATCAGGTTTATCGTATTCAGTAAGTTTACTTTACCCGATGGCGTCACTATTGTTTACAAACTTATATTGAAAAAGTTCAAATTTTGAATTTGATAACTTTTATTTCAAAAATCCACCTTGTTTTACAGAATCAAATTTTGACAATTTAAGTAAACACTAAATATTTAAAAAACAAATTTTTGTATTCAGGAATATGCAGACAATTGAACATCCGCCTATCATTGACTTTTATCGTAATTCAGTGGATGATAATGGTGTGACTTCGAGGCCATCTATGAAACAATTAATTCACGGTGAAAAAGCCAAAGATACCGTAATTGGAATTGATGAATTCAAGGCTTGTTTTATAAATTACGAATTGTAATGCATTGTAAAATATATTTATGGCACTAATTTGTGTATTCAAATCAGTTGACTTATCAACTGAGTTAGTGGTACAAGTATAGTTTCTTCAGTGAAGTCACATAAGAGTATAGTTAGCCTTAAATTAAAGTCAAAATTAATTTAACTATAAAAAATAATTAAAAAGAATTCAAATATCTCTTCTATCTGTCAAGTCGTACTGTAAAATAATATGATATTTTCTTGGCTTTAATTGCTTTGACTACAAAATTGTGTATTCGTTGATGATGAGCGTAGAATCATTTCATTCAGAAATATTTATTATTCTTATAATTTGTGTCGAAATATATATTCAATGCGCGAAACTTCATAATTTCAGAAAGATACTGATGAAATTATAAATAACGAAACGACAACAGCAAAACTTAGTAAATTTGAACCGCCAGCGCCAATAAAACGCACAAAATTTGGTTGGATTCAGGGTGTATTTGTTCGCTGTATTCTGAATATTTTTGGCGTGATGCTTTACTTACGTGTAAGTTGGGTTGCTGGACAAGCTGGTATTGGTAAGTCTATAATGCAGTTTTATCATGCATAATTTTTAGCTCTAAAACCTTAATTTAATGAATCATTTATCAGCTAATAAGTTTAAATTGAATTTTAATTTTCTAAATTTGTTGCAAAATTTCTAAAAAACATTGATGATTCTTAAATGGTGTGACATGAGGTCATAATCATTAATCACGATTTGGTTGCAGTTCTGTTTTTGCTTTTATTGTTATCATAAACGCTACAGTACTTATCGTAATCACCAATAATAATATTATACGTGTCGTAATCATGTTTATAATAGCTAATTTTTTAAGAGAAGATTAGCTATAGCTTTATTTTACTTTTATTTTTTTGCATATAACCGACAGCGAATTGCATAATTAATCAGGGAACACATTTTTACTGTTGATAGCAATATAATTATCATTCTTGCTTTTATCCTTTATTGCTATAATGATTACTGTAGGCATTATACTATTGTAGTAATTGTAAAAAAACTACTTATGATATTATTAATTTAATTTTTTTTCCGCCTCTTAACTGCACAATCATTATGTGAATATTATTTTAGCTGGAAGAAATTTTTTATAGAAGGCACTTTTTTTAGTTTTTGCAAGATTAGACCAATTTTTCTAAATTATAATTGTAGTGAAAATTATTGATGTCTTCTAACTTTTTTGACTATTTAACAATATTATTTATAAAATATTTTTGCGGTTATTTACTTGTTATAGTTTGACTAATTATTGTATGTACTGTAATACAAAGTTATAGGATTGGGATGCGCTGTTGTACTGCTCGCATCTCTTGTAACATTTATAACAGCCCTTTCAACGTGTGCTATTTGCACGAATGGTGATGTCAAAGGTGGTGGTGCATATTTTTTGGTCAGTTTTTGTGCTAAAAAATAATAATAATTCCTTTGAAACTTTTTTTGCGCAGAAAAAAAATTTAATGTAAGCAAATATGATTTGAAGTAATAGAATAGTTCAAAGGTAAAAGCTTGAGCAGACATAAATTGTTTTAAATTTGTTTAAAATATTAATCCAACTATTCTTTTGTATTAAATAACTCTCAGCTTGTATAAGTATTCCTATTTTAATTTGAATTTCATATTCTTATTAGCTTCAAAGTTCATTTTAAATTCGATTTTGTCAGGATTCATTCTGGTATTCAGTAAGTAAAACTTATTTTGAGACTCAGTTATTAATCAGATTCTAGTAAATGTGGGTATATCGTGATCTGAAATAAAGTCTGATGCAAAAAAACTCAACAAAAGCAAATTTATATTATAATAATCTGATGATTGCATGAATTAAAATTATTTTTCAATCGTAATTAGTAACTGTGAAAGTTACGTATCACTTTAGCAGTTTATAGGTTATCATTTTTCAAGTATACGTTTAGATTAGTCGTTCCCTTGGACCAGAATTCGGTGGTTCTATTGGGTTAATATTTTCTGTTGCAAATGCTGTTGGTGCTGCAATGTATGTTGTTGGATTTGCTGAAACAGTTCGAGATTTATTAAAAGAAAACAATTACGCTATAATTGACAGTGGAATGAATGACGTACGAGTCATTGGTCTCGGTGTGCTTTTATTGTATTTTAAAGCATTAATTTATATTACTTGCCAATTTTTATATGCACAAATAAGAATTTTTGGAAATGATATTAATTTATCTGTAATAATAAGGTTTCATTAGTGGATTAAGTATAAGGTATTAGTGGCTTTATCCTCCAAATTAATTTTAAATAAAATTAAGAAAAACTTGAGCATTGTATGATATTAAATAAATTTAGTAAGAAAATCTATAATTAACATCTAATTTTGTAATTAATATCTAGTTAGCATTCCATTGATAACTTTGCAGTGCTGGTTGTGGCAAAATTTCAGTTTTTCCAAGTATTTAGTTTTCAATTTAATTCCGATTTTTACTTTAAGTTGATGCAGATTAATTATTTCTGTCATAGGGAATATATCATGTCATGTTTTCAACCTAATTTCTTACGATTTTGAATTTGATTAATTTAATAATAATTTAGATATGATTGCATCGCTATTGTAGTAATTAAATAATTTAACAAGTAAATACTCTACCATATTAGTGTAGTAATTTCCTAATATATTAAACAATGCTCTGTTGACACCTAGAAAATACAATGTAGATAATTTGAATCTAAAAATTAAGATATATAGATACTCAAAGACTTAGCTATCAACTTTTCTACTTCTAGCCTTTAATTTCAGAAAATCTTACTTTGTATTCGGTGTTGTCTTAGTTTGCTTCATCAAATCTCTTACAAAAATTAACTAAGATATTATCACTTCTCCAAATATGTATTTTTAGTTTCTTGCTGCGTTTTAATCGCAATCGTATTTGTTGGTACTAGTTTTGAAAGCAAAATGCAAATGGGTTTATTGGCTATTTTAACTTTATCCATCATCAACTATTTCATCGGAACTTTCATGCCACTTTCCGAACATCAGCGAACACGTGGTATCACGGGTTATAGTAGTAAGCTTTACGCTTTAATCTTATTTCTATTGCTTTTTGAACCCGATTGCTTTTCATAATATCTGATTATATTCTATAAAATCCGTCTCAGCTTTGGTTAAATTTTACGATACTTGTTTGAATTATGATTTTACCATTAATATGTGATACTTGGTTGAGTTTTATCATGAAGTATTGTATTCAGTCAACTTATATTATATTCTTTGTAATTGAATCAATCTTTTTTTTATGCGAGTGATCTCGACTTATTAGTACTAATAATAAAACGATGATAAGTAATTCAACTTTAACCTATATTGTTTGCAGCGAAGGCATTTTAATATTTATTATATCTTTGGTTATCAATAAAGGACTTTTTCAGTTACTACAATGGTCGATAATATGTTGCCTAACTTTCGAGGAGGTGAAAGTTTTTTTTCAGTATTTGCAGTATATTTTCCAGCAGCAACGGGTATAATGGCTGGCGCAAATATCAGTGGGGATTTAGCTGATCCTCAAGTAATGTCTGATTATATTTGTTTTTGATGGTTATCACTATAATGAAATCACAATAATACTACAATGACTTCTGCTAATCATTGATATTCATGAAGTATGAGCAATGTATTATGCAAATATTATGTATTTTACTCACATATTTTGCGTCAGTGAAAGTTAAAAATCAATTTGAAATTTCATTTATATTGAAAATAATAACTTATTTAAGTGAATTTTTGTACTTGATATTGTTTGCTTTCTAAAGGTTAGAAAATAATTCATAGTGACTAGTCTATTTACAGGTACTACTTTTCAAAAGAATATCTGAAATTGTATTATAGAATTTAAGGAAGTTCAAATTTTATCTGGACTTATTGGGGATTTCCTTTCGAATTATAAATTAAATTATAGAAATCAATACCAAAAGGTACATTGTTGGCGATAGCTGTAACGACAGTGGTATATTTACTAGTTGTTTTTTCAACTGGATCAACGTGTGTACGGTATGCAGATGGCTATCAAGTGCCGTATATAACTGATGGATCGTATTTTGTTCCTGATTGTGCCGTGAATAATACCTGTCCATATGGTCTAATGAGCTATTTTCAGGTGGCTTTAAAATTATGTTAGGAGTTTATACAAAAAACCGGTACTTGTTTCTTTATCAAAAAAACTAATTACTTTTTCTTACTAGTTGATTAAACAAACTTATCAATTAGTTACTCAAATTAGTTTTGACCTATCACAAATTAAGTTTTGCTATTTTTAGGTGATGGAATCTGAGAGCTTTTATGGACCGCTAATTACAGCAGGTATTTTTGCTGCTACATTAAGTTCGGCTTTAGCTAGTCTTGTTAGTGCACCAAAAATTTTTCAGGTTTGTTGTATTACTTTTCTTTTTTTCGCAAAATAATTGGATAAAATTAATCATATATTGAAAATAAAATGCGGTAGAACTAGGTACATAATGAATATTTTATAAAATTCTTCTTATACAGTGCTTGATACAGTACTGTTATTCATGGTGTCTCAGTAAGATACATCATTCGTTCCATGGAGTAATGATAAAAGTGCACCCAAAGAAGTCGAAATATCACCAAATTCTAACTACTATGAAATGAAAATTTTCAGGCTATACAATCTGAGATAAACTATTTTCTATTAAGATTAATGTGAATTGTCACATTCGTATGATTGATAATTTTCGCATTCGCATGAAATTCTGTAATCCGATATATTATAAAAAGATACGATATTTACAGTGTACGTACGGATTACTGTTTTTTGTCATTGTAGGCCGTATGTAAGGATCGTTTGTTCCCAAAAGTTAGTTTCTTCGCAAAAGGTTACGGCAAAAATGATGAACCTCGTAGAGCATATGTTCTTGGCTTTATCATTGCTCTGATAATGATACTAATTGGTAAGTGGTTTTAGTATTACAGTTGTAAAGGAGGTACGGTAAGGATTCCAGTTTTAGAACTATGTGAATGAAATACTTTTTGTGCCAGAACTAAGTTAAAGTAATAAAAGTAATATTTTAGAAATCCGAAAAGTTTTGCTTTCAAAAACAGTTTTTGTTTGTTACTTTTATTGCATTCAATTTTTCATATACAGTCATGATACAGTACTTTATTCATGCCATCTACAGTAAGATCCATCATTTGTTCCATGGAGTAATGCGATTAATGAAGTAAAAATTAGTTCTCTGGTTTATTTCATTTTTAATTTAATTAAAATTACTTACTGTAATCTTTGACAACTATGAAAAATGTGAAAATTCGAAGCAATTATTATTATTTTCAATATAATTATTCAAATTTTTTACTTTATAACTTTTTATACTCTGATTTAGTTTTACGAATTATGATATTGACATGAATATAATAATGAGTATTAATATCTTTCGTTTTTCATATATTTCTGTAATCCTAATTTTCACATTTTTCTTGAAGTTTGCATCAGAGGTCAAATCATTTCGAATCAGAGGTCAAATCTTTTTTTAATGTACAAATGTTTAGGTGAGTTGAATGCAATCGCGCCAATAATTTCAAATTTCTTCTTGGCATCCTATGCACTTGTGAATTATTCTTGTTTTGATGCGTCATTTGCAGATTCCCCAGGTTATTGGTTGATGTTTTATTAATTCAGAAACTTTCTTCCTCTGTCAGTTCTTTACAACAATAAAAGTATAGAAAAATGAAAAAGTTCTTGTGTTCAAAAAATCAAAACTTTGCCTTAAAACGTCTTTTTAAAGGAAAACTGCTTAAGAAATCAAAAGCTTTTCATTATACTGTCGTAAATTTTCAATTATTAAAATTATTTTCAGTAGATTTTAGTGTGCTTCAAGTAAAGCTATCACAATACGCCTGAAACACAAATTTTTGGTGCAAATATGTCCCAAACTTGTTGAATTTAAATTAATCTAATATTCATAACTAGACTTCAAAATTAATTGTAACTTAAATACAAAAATCAGAATTCTTTTAGCATAGATTATTATTTGTAAACAAATTTTATTCGTAGAATGAATAATCAACATTGTAAGCATTGGAAAATCTTGGTCAGACTAATCTTGTTATTAATTCAGACTAATCTTGTTAATCTTGTTATTACTGCAGTGATTTGAATCATGTGATAACCAATTATCATAAGTGTAGTAATCAGTACAATCAAAATTATTTGATTGTTTCATTAATGAAAAACGTAATACATTTGGTTATAATTTTAAGCATAAAATTATAGTATTTTATTATATGTTAAGTAATAATTTAGGCTTCCGACCTGCTTTCAAATATTACAACATGTGGGTGTCACTTACTGGTGCATTACTATGTATCAGTGTTATGTTTATCATTTCTTGGTCTACAGCTTTGCTCACATTCTTCTTTTTTGCTATGTTATTTTTGTACATATTATACCGTAAACCTGGTTTGTTTTTATCTTATCTTTGACAAAATTTGAAAAAAATATTCATTTAAATACATGATTTTAAAAATTTTTTCAAAATAAAATGTACAAATGCATGGAAATCGATTTTGATTTTATAAATTTCAAATTTTTCAATTGTATTTTAAATTCTGAAAAATTACGTGAAAATTAAATATTCCATTTGATTTTAATTTTGGGACTTATATTATGATATCGAAAATGTGATTATTTTAGATTGGATTACTGCAAAAAATAAGCTAATTTCACCAGAATTATATTAAAAAAGTATTTTTATAGCAGTTGCAACAGGGAATAAATTTCAAAAAATTAATTTACTGTAGTTATAAGTGGAAGCCTTACTGCTCTACACTTTTCTGCATTTGGTTAAATTGACTTGAGTACAACTGTGATACTGTGTGATAGGATATAGAAGTAATCCAATCTAAAAGAATAACTGCAAAACTTTGCAAGAAAAATATAAAGATCTCCAAACTCCTGTAGTACTGTAGTGCAAAAATGAGTAACTTCAGAGCTGCAGATAGCAAATTACTGTCGATGCAATAAAAGTAAAGAGTCAAAAGGCATTTAATTAATCAGAAATTATTTTAACTAAATTTCAAGCTATTAATTTTGCCTACAAATGAAAAATGAACTTTATTTGAGTGAAAAATTGTTGTATTCTCGGAAATTTCTGATTTTTGAATGTTTTTATCCATGTTTCTTGAAAGATTCTGAGATGAGATTCTGATTAAGCTAACAGTTAAGCAGACTCTCATATTTTTTTTTGAGAAAAGAAGTTGCATATTAATAGGAGATAATTGAATTTTTTACATTATTTTTGATTTAATTTCATAAAACTAAGACTTATTATCAGACGTCAATTGGGGATCGTCTACACAAGCACACTCTTATAAAAATGCTTTGCAAGCTATGCAAAAATTAGCGATAACCGAAGAACATGTCAAAAACTATCGACCACAAGTATTACTGTTAGCCGGTAATCCAGCTGCTCGACCATCTTTGGTTGATTTCGCTTATAATATTACAAAGGGATCAAGCTTGATGATATGTGGTTTTGTAGTTCCAGTAAGACTGTTTTTATTATTCAGCTTAAATTTCCAGTTAATTATTATGCACAGTTATTCACTGAAACATATGGAAATATTTGTTATATATGTACAGTAAGTTAATATAAATCTAATGTAGATGAGTTCTACAGTATTACTACGGTACATTGATTTGTAATTATAGTAAAAAAAATTGTGCTAAAATTTTTTTTCATTATATTACACTATATAGCGTAGATGAGTTCTTTTTTCATTATATATTACTATATATAGTAATATAATGAAAATGCGCTGAAATACAAAGCATAAAAGCACGCGTGCTAGATATATCGTATAATATAAGGAAAAAGAAAATATGTACAGTAGTGATAGAGTTGCAAACTTTTATTAATATGTGAATTTTGATTACTTCCTGTTTGGGAGCTATTAAAATTTTAGCATAATTTAAGCGCGAAAATAATTTTAAAAGTTTTATGTGCTCTATTTCGATGTGAATGTAGCGATAGTCGTACAAAAAAATGTCAAATTCAGATCGAAATTATTATAATTACATTAATATTACAAACTATTTTTGTCGAGCTTCTAACAAAATTTTTTCATTTATAAGTCCAATTTCGAGCTTTTTTACATTTTTGATTTTAATCAAAAATATTTACATTTTTTCATTTCTCAATTTTGATTCAAGTATATTTTCAAGTATGATCCATGCGATCGAGTTTTTGCTCTGCTGCGAAAGTTAAACGTACAAATGAATGAATGGTTGAGAAAACGTCACGTAAAATCATTTTACGTTTCAGTAGCTAATCCAAGTCTTCGTGTTGGTGCGCAAACATTACTTCAGGTAATGTTATAAATACTTTTATATTTCGCATGTTTATTGTTTATTGGCACTTAATTCTTCAATCACTTATGATAAGTAATAAAAGATTAATTCATGTTTGACCTTATTTTTAGGTTGCTGGACTTGGGAAATTAAAACCAAACATTGTCATTATTGGATTTAAAAAGAATTGGGCTATACGAGGAGTGGACGGATTAGAGGAAATCAACGATTACTTTGGTGTTATTCAGTAAGCTAACAAATATTTTCAAAATTTTGTTATTGCTATCTCGAAAGTTTTTCCCATCACATAAAACTAATTTTCTAACTATCATTTAGTTAGTTAAACTGATTTGTAAGAATTAAAGTATTGAAAGGGAGTGGCTACGAGAATAGAATTGATGTAAACTATTTCCATTAATTGATAACATTCATCTAAATAATAGTTGAATAGGTATTAATTCGAGATTGCATTCGCCTTAATTGAAATATAGCTTTTTTAATTATGCAAAGTGAAACAAAATTCAGAGATGCTTTTGAAAGTCGAATGGGAGTAGCAGTTTTGAGGAATTCAGAAGGTGGACTCGATTATAGTGAGTTAATGAAGCGGCATAACGTGGGTGATACTGCTCGGTTGAATTTACCTGATGTGGGCCGATCTTCAAGTACTACTGGAAATGAGTAAATGAGTGTTTAATTACTGAATAATACTAAATAATATTCGTATTATGAAGCACTGTCTCACTGAAAACAAATAAATTACAATATCTGTAAATTATTAAGACCATAGAATTATTATAGATAAATTGCAGACATCTGTAGAAGATTACAGTAAAGAATATGTATCTACTAAACCTAGACATTATGAAATTTAATACATTTTGACATGTTCCGGTTGTGGTAGTGAAGAAGTTTAGTAGTAATCGTTCTCAGGTAGAAAATAAAGTAGCTTATGCAAAAAATCAACGATGAACCAAATTGTATCTAAATTAGTGGGCATTCAAATCACATCTAGGTAAAGAAATACTGATTGATTTAAAATTATTAAGTCAGGTTTTTGATCTGGTTGTGAATTTTTTCTTTCACTTTTTATATTTTCATGAGCTAAAATTAATTCAAAATTTTTTTGTATTTTTTTTCATAAAGTAAAAAAAAGAAAAAAGTGTTTTACATCTTAATTTTTTGTAATAAAAATATTTTTAGCAGTAGAATAATGAATTTTAATGAACATTTTTCCTAAAAATTGTACATTTTATTTGCTTTTTATTGATTTATTTCAAAAAAATCACTAACTGATCGAAGAATTTTAGAATAGATAGAAAAGTTAAACAGAATGCTAACAAGGATCAACTGAGAAATGCTAATTCAAGTAAGTATTTTCAAATTTTGCTTTTAATTTTTTAAATTTTAAAATAATGTTCATTTATTTTTTGAATAAAAAGTTACTTGTGAACTAATTCGATTCAAATTCTTGATTCTTGCAAAATAAATATGCAGTTCCTTTCAAAAAATATGTGCGGTATTTGTACTTTACATTTTGCAATCATAGTAACAGTATTTAAATAGAAAATTATTTTAATGAATTAATAAAAATAATAAAAAATTATTTTTATGTTACTGCGCATCTATTCAGATTAATGCCGAAATTAATTCATTTCTTATTATAATTTCCATTTTTAACATTTGTATGAATGGAAAAATTAGAAAGGAATTAATAATTTGTATAATTTTAGTTAATCTTAAAATGCTAATTCAATCATGTCGGTGCAGTGCGCTGTTACTAAATGGCTTCATTTGATTAATTCAACAAATTAGTATCGAATTAGCTCTTTTCATCAAAATTCTTGTTTTCTTAGATGATTATCTCAGCATAATTGCTTAATTTAATTATATTAAATATGACTAAACTTCTGTGCATTTGGTAGTAATTATTTTATTATCATGGTTATTATATTAATTTTTAGATTATATCAATGTTAGATTGAATTCTGAGCTGGAAATTGGGAATGTACTCGGAAAAAAAACCAATGTAATTTAAGAAATATTTGATTTTTAGGTGGTTTCAAGAGATAAATTTGGAATCACAAATATCGTTAAGAATTATGAAAATTTCAATTCTTGATGCAAAAATGTACATCAAATTTAATTCAGAAATATTTTATTTTTGGAAGATTTAATTCTGTACTAAAAGTTGAGAATATGCCTTAAAAAACTATGAATTTCAAGTTTTTGTAGTAACAATTGGAATTTAATTCTGCAGTGGTATTTTTGAAAATCTTAGTATTCGATAATGAGAATAATAACAATCATAATAATTAGTTAATGATAGTGATAATGACAATTCTATGTGCGCATGTGTTTGCGTTATTTTCGTTAGCCTTTGTTGATAATTTCAGCTATGAAGTTTCATCGGCAAAATGCCATTGATGGTATAAAAGTTAATTCTACAGTCTCGGAAAATTTATCTCAGAAATGGGCAAAATCAGCTACAGCAAATACATCGAATGCCTTAAGCATAGAACATTTTGATGCTCTTAATGATTCCCTCCTTCTGGGGAATATTCTGTATCTAGCTGGTAAATAAGATAAACTCAGATTACTTTACTTTCATCTTCTGAAATTACTTTATACTTCTGCTAGTAATTTTTTGATGGGTACTTGGTGGTGAATATTATCATGATCTTAATATTTAATGCATAAAATTCAAAATTTGACTTATGTCAAATATTAAATTAATTATCAAATCATATAATAAATTTATTTTTATTTAAGCATTCTATAAAGTTTCACTTTAGTTATCATAATTTTGATACTTAATTCAAAAAATTCGAGATTAGTATTTGGATTTTTTATTCAAGCATGAATTTTCTTGAATTTTATTAGATAATGTGTTTTAAATATTGCAAATTTCAGTTAATATTTAAAAAATCTCTGATAAAGAAATATTAGTAAAATTTTTTATAACAAAATAAAATTTCAATTTTAACGACTACTACTTTATTAAATTAAAAAATACGCAGCATGCAATATTTCGGGAATCAAATACTAATCTTGCTACTTTCAATTAACCGATATTCCATTTCTAATTTTGGTTTTTTTCCTCTCCAAATTTTTGCTCTCTGTGATAGTTTCTATTCAAAATTTCTTTATTACAATTTTTCTACACTTAAGTATGCAAATTTTCAAGTGCTGAAAAAGCCTTGTTTTGATTACTCACTTAAGCGTGCTGTTTTTGAATTATTGTACTTAATAAATTATATTTGCTCCTTTTTTAACAGTTTTATATTTTCAGATCAATCACTTATCTAGCAATTTCATAAATTTTTTTCAAATTATTTTATAGTACTATTAAGTTGATTCAAAATATCTTATTTATTCACTTTGTATAATATTTATTTCCTTAGAATTCTATTCTTTTCGGGTTTTATATTAATTTTTATGTAATTATGCAAATTTCCATCTTGATATTATTTTATTTTAACCCGCACTGTGCATGCTTACAGCTTTAGCTATGTATGATTATTTAGAATTTTCGGGTTGCTTTATAATTTTTTTATTTGCAGTACTTGAAAAGAAATAATATTTTTAGCAACTGGACCATATTTGGCAAATTGTCCACTAGAATACTTTGATGAAGAAGAAAGCGAAGCTCAAGAAAACCGCATTCCATCTGATTCAGCTGGAATTGCTTGTGAAGAGGTTTAGCATTTGTTTCTATTAGAATATTCAAAAGCTATTTTTTGTGCTTTCGTAGAAAAAAATTGATTTGCCGTATAGAAGTAATTTACTTTGTTATGCATCAGAAGAAATTACTCATTTAAAGTAAATCGCTAATACTATGTTTTAGAGCGAAAATATTTTGGCACAAAAGTACTGTTTGTGCATTATTTACAAATGTACAGAAAGGCTACAGATCAATAGAAATAATACAAAAAAATCCCAAAAAAACAAAAAAAATTATCAGACATTTTGTATTGAATGCATAATAAACTAAAACGATAAATTCAGCGTAATTTATTAATTTTTATTATTCAAAATAATTAAGCAAGACTACAATTCCTTGTAACTTTGAAGTGATTTTTTCAATTATTAATAATTGATGTATACTGAAAAACTTGCATAGAAAGCATACAAATTCAAAAACTGGGCCGAAATGTTTTTTGCTTTATTTTGGAAATTAAAAAAAATGCCTTGAAAATTTGCAGCCTGATTTTTACAGGTAGAGCTTGATCTGAGAGCGATGACCTAAAATGCATAAGTAGTCTTTATGCTATAAATAAAAACCTTATTTTGCATTTAATTCAGTTTTCATCAGTCTTTCTCAAAATTATTTTTTGATCCATAAATTCAATCATGATCATAAGATTTTCTTTCAGCTCACAAATCAAAGCTTGATCTTGAATTCAGTTGTAACTCAGTCAAGCATTGCTGTTTAAGTCACAAGTCAAAGCATGATCTTAATGTCGATTTTTGCTTTGAATTTAAAATCATTTATATTCATTATGCAGTGAATGATTTTAAATTCAACAATCATTTTAATCTACTTAAATTTATAGAGTTGTGTTGCGATAGAGATACTTTTTATACTATCCAGTTATAATTATTGCATTAAAAACACATATTATTTACTCATACGTTTACGTTTTAACTTCAATTCTTATTTACTGATTTATTAGAAATCACTGCTGTATTTAACCAAATTGCTAGATGCTTCTCGTGGATGTAATAAAAAAGTAAGCAAAACTTAATGTACTTATTAGCATTATGCATATTTTGAAAAAGTTGTTTGTAAGAATTTCTAGGATGATGATGATGATTCGGATGAAAAAACACGATTAACAAAAAGTGGTGAGCAGCTACTAACCCACGATAAACAGCATCAAAATTATCATCATTATTATCATGACCATCGTCGTTTCTCTTTTATTGATCGTGATGATAATAATAATAATAATCGCACAAATAATACTATTAATGATAATGATGATGAAGTTGATGGTGATGGTAAAAGCGCTGCCGATAACAGTAATGATAAGGTCCGTCTGCTTTCTCACAAGTGTTTTATTAACAATAGATGTTTGTTATTAATATCAATATTAATAATATTATTATTTATTTTTAACACATCATTTTGCGCACATATGTGACATTATTTAAAATCATGTTAAAAATTTTGTGCTAAATCAGTATAGTAAAGCATAAGTCTTTTTTTTGCTGTTATCTTTTTATGATTGTTATTTATTTGAATTACTATTGTCTTTTTTTGATTTTAATACAAATGTCTTATAATTATTATTTTTTACTGAATTTTTATAGATTTTATAAGTCTATCATTACAAAACAATTGCATATGAAATTTGACTTTTATGACTTAGTGCTTAGTTTCTAAAAAAGCCATCACTTAACATTTGCAACAAACAAAAGTTGCTGGTCAGTTTTTTAAGTTTCAGAAAAGGATACTATTATTGTCATATCTCTATACCATACAAAGTATATATATATGTATTTTTGAATTAATTACTAGTAAGAAGTGCATTTTAGAAAGTACTGAATTTTAATTGGTAATTAATCTTAATTTAAACCATGATATGGTGCATTACAGGAATGCATATGTGGCAATTTTCAGCAAAATGTGTAAAAATAATAATGTCTAATAATAGTTAGCTATCACTGAAAAATTTTAAACTAATTTTTGATAATAAATCAGTAAATAGAATTTTACATCAGTCATTATTTTATACCATCCAAATTTGCTCGTATTTTTCATTTGAATGAGATTTAAATTAGTGAATTCAATAGTAGGGAACAGAATTTATTTGAATAACCAAATGACAGACAAAATTTTTGAGTTTTATCAAAAACAAAAGTATCAAAAAGTGTTCAGCACTTTGTTTTTTTATCCACAAGTTTGAGCAGTTTGAATTAATATTTTCAGATCTATAAAATACCTGATCAGCCCAGAAGACATTCGCTCTATGATAGTATTCGACGGTAAGGTATTTCTGAAATCTGTTCTTTTTAAAATTCAATGATATTACTGACCAAAAAGCCCTAATACAGCGCACTTTTTTAATCATTTTTTTATTGTGATTTATTTTTGAGTTTTTAAGACAATATCATAATTTTAAATCGAGTGAAATATTATGGTATTTTTCATTGAAGAGTTTTAAATTTTTTCACTAGGAAATCTATTAATACTTGTTCTAAATTTAGTTTTGATTTGTTATTGATATTAAGTATCAAGTCAAATTAATTATGAATATTTATTAGTGATTAATTTACTAATAAGAAAATCAGAAATTTTAGAGGCAATAAAAGTATTTAATTTCATTATCGAATTTAGTTTAGTCAAAAGAAATGTTTATTACATTGAAAAAACAGGAAAACAATCATAAAAGTATTTGGCAGTCTTAAATAATTACAAATGACTTCTTTTTTGTTGAAAACTAATAGTTTGATCAGTCTAATAATAAAAATGACGTAAATTACTGACTGACCTAAAATTTAGACGTCGTAGGTCACGGAAAGTCGATCATCTCTCTACTGTTACGATTAGCGAAGAGTGTGTTTCAGTCTTTTTGTTTAAGTATTTACTATTATTGAATATTTTTTGTGGTTTGTCATATTAATTTTCGGTAGTATTGACTTGAGTGATCTGTGGCTGTCGTCATTTGCATGCAAGCTTTCCTTCAATTTAATAGTTTTTCATACAGTTACGATTTAATGATAATTTATTTTGATATTAGCCAAATATTAATTGACCAATAGATCAATCAAATAAGAAACTAATCACATTAGTAGCAGAACAAATTATGAATAAATTATGTCATAATTTAAAAATAATAATTTGTTAATTAGTATCTAACCATTTTATGAAATAACTAATTACTAAATTAGTCATATTGTGATTTATCACTGACCTATCATCTAATGATAAAGTTAGGTAGTAAACTGATCAAATGTATTAACGGACTTTACTATTGTATATAGAAATTGGTACGTTATGGTCAGTCAGAGGCTGATCAGATTATTAAGTCAGTTACTAAATTTTTGATCATCCAAAAACATTTTGATCATTTGTTTGAATTGTTCAAATAAGCGTGTTAAATACAAAAATATTGTATATTAATTTGTCTAAAATTGAAATTTTTCTTAATTTCTTTACAAAATTAACAAAGGGATTTGTTTTCCAAAAAAATTGCTGATTTATGAATTATCTAATTTTTTCTTCAAACTTTCCGATTTTTTACTGATCTTTCGAATAATCAATGGAAGTGGTCAGTTACCATGTCCAGCAGTTATTTACGAAATATTAGTTCATAAATTTGGATGATTGCTCTATTTATTGTTTGATAACCTTTGTTTGCTTATTTCATTTTTGAATTCAATTTTGTTTACTAGTAATTTTTTTGTTATTAACGTATTAGTTATTAGTTAATGTACAGTTTTGATTTTAGCTTTAAATTTAGGTTCATTTTAGGTCACGTCGTCCAACAGCAGCACAACGTGAACTTCTTGCATCAATTTGTCGTTTTCATCGTCGAATCAAAGGTGCAACGATTGATGTTTGGTGGCTATATGATGATGGTGGCTTAACACTTCTTATTCCACATTTATTAACTTTACCGAAGAGTTATTTGGAAGTAAGTCTGAAAATTAATAAAAAGGAGAGATGAATTCTATTTCCATTTTTGTATTAATTTTAAAAATTAAATAAAGATTTGAAAGTTATTGCTTGCTTCTTTAAGTGATTTAAATTTGAAAAATAAAAAATTTTACTTAAAGAATGCTCGGCTACGTGTTTTTACCATTTCTACGTCTCCAACATTGATGGAGCAAGAGCAACGTAGCATGGCAGCGTTATTAACAAAATTTCGAATCGATTTCTCTGATGTTTCCGTAATTCCTGATATTGGTCGAAAGCCAACCGCTCAGACGTTAGTTTAACTTTTACGTCTTGAAGAAATTTTGATTTAAAAATAAATATTTTAATTCTTTGGTAAGTTAAGTTTACTCAAAATGATTAACACTTTCCATGTTATTAAAAGTTTAGCTAATAAGTTTCTTTATGTATCAATTTTGCATAGATTCGAAACTATATTCAAGCAAAACAGTTTTTTTTTTCACAAATTTGCTCGTATTTTTAGCTGAACGCAAGTTATTTATCTTCAACTGAAAATGCTTATAAATATTATAACTAATCATATTCACTTAGAAAGTTCATATTAATATCACTAACTTTCGATGGTTATTTTGAAAGTTATCAATATTAATAATAATTAACGTCATTTTCGGCAATAACTAGTATTAATAAACTGATTGTTTTGTAGTGAAGACACTAGTATAATGGAAGCATTATTTAACATCAATAAATAATATGATGATTACAACTCACGATAATTAGTAGAATAGATGACTGATTTATCATAAAATTACAAATAATTTCTCATTAGCATTGTAATAACTTTTTGTAAAATAATGTATACTTATTTATTACTTATAAATAATAATTTTAGAGAAGAAATATTTTCTGAACTTATCGCACCATTTGTTTGTGATGATAATAAGGTACAACCCGGACTGATCACTCGATCAGAATTAGATGCTCAAAAACAACGCACAAATCGGCAATTAAGATGCTCAGAATTACTTCATGAATTATCTTGCAAAGCTGATCTAGTTGTTTTGTAAGTTTTCAAAGTTTATATCGCTTGTGATTGTGATAATGCTAACTTGTAGCTGATAATTCAAATTGACAATTGCAACTGTAATTCAGTAACTATAATGATGACAATTGCATTAATAATTGAGATGTTCATATAAATTAATAACTGTGGAAATTAGAACAGATAATATAATTACTGAATTTGATCAAAATTTAAAAGAAAATTACTTTTTTTTTTGACTTTTAAATTATTATGTGCTTTAATTTCTCTTCATCTATAAAATAAACATTATTAGTAGTGTTAGTTTTGCAATTTAAATTTATTTTACAACTTTATTATCAACTTCATTGTTGATATTGTTTTCTCATTATCAATAATTTAACAATGATCAAAAAATTTTTTTCAGCCTCTAAAATCTTGAAAACTTAATAACTTTTTTTTCACTTTTTCTTGCCGCTATTGGTTATCAGTTATAATATATGATATCTTTCAATTAAAATGTAAATAAATCACTTCATTTTCTTTAAGTTTTAACACATTATTAACCAAGAAAGTGCTTTCCAATTTCATTTTTTTGATGAAATTTCATCAAAAATTTTTAAACTGATAATTATCTTATTGAATTTATTGCTGGTATTGTAATTTACAATTAATCCTGGATTTATTTGAGAACATTGCCTGTTCCACGTGTTGGTTTTGTAAGCAGTTGTTTGTACATGGCGTGGTTGGATATGATGACACGTGATTTGCCGCCAACATTATTAATCAGAGGAAATCAGACTTCTGTTCTTACGTTTTATTCGTAATTTAAATTAAAGTGTTCATAAATATGCAGAAAAATATTAAAATTTCATTGGCTAACTTGTACTTTTGAAATAAAAGTTTCATTACTAAAAATAGAAATGATTATTTTCGGTTGTATAGAAAACTCTAAAATTTGATCAAAATTATGTAAAGTAATTAGATATAACTCTGGAATTTTATATTTAATTTCAATTAATTAAATGAAATTCAAAATTCTGAAATTTTGTTTTTCAACGTGATTAAAAGCATGACGATATATTGATTTTTCATCATGTTTTTGCTCAGATCTTGTATAGAAACTTGGATTGAGATTTTTCAATTATTAATTTTTATACTCGTATCTGTTTCAGTGGCATTTAATGATTTGGTACTGAAGTCTTGCTAAGAATTGGTAAAGACTGATAGATATGAGTAGCTGATAATTATTTGCTTGAATATCACTTCTTGAATTATTTTTCTGGTTGATTAACGCAATCAATTTTGTTAAATTTTACAACAAATATGGAATTTTTGTTGTGAAGTCCATTTTGCCACTATCAAAGAACCATCATAAGTCATATCACTGTATATACAAAATTCCACCTTCTTGCGCACGTGCATTATTGTACTGTACTTTATCTCTTGGTCATAAGTACTCTATTTTATGTCATATTATACCGTATTTTACTTTATTATTGATCTTGTATTATTCTACTATTTTTGTTGTGAATTTTATCATTCTAAAAATGTGTAATCCAAATTTTAACTTTTTAAAAAAATAACCTTTGTCATATAAAATACGTTATAAATAACTGTACTTTTCTTAAATTAATAATTTTATTAGTAAAACTATGATATTTTATTTTATTTTTTGCTTTAAAATTATCAATTGTTTTTTGTTGGTTTTGTGACAATTTTAATGATATTGTACATACAAAACTTAACGGAGTATTTCATTTATTTTGATTGCAATTATTCTGTTGTCTAATATCACTGATTCTTCATGCATATTGGTTTTTATTAATTTAATTATCCGCAGAAATAATCAATAAATTTTCCAGAAAAATGCGTACAAATATATTATATAATTCGTCCATTTCATATCAAAAGCTAAAATACTTTCTTCCCACTCTTTAACAAATTTTCTTTGCTTTATTATATAAACGGAAATAACAAAGACCTTTAAAATATCTTTGAATTTAACATGGAGACTGATGATTACGCTTCTTGACTGATTGTAAGCAATACCAGAAAAATTACGACTTTTCCTGCGAACAGGATCAACTTCGAATTTCTGCTCAACACAACTTATCAATTCCAGATGTTCCTTTAGAAATAATTACAAAAAAATGAACGTATCCCATAAACATCGAAGATAAGTTTATTTCCTTGGAAGTCAGAATACGCTGGATGTAATAAAAAATTGACTACTTCAGCACGTCGATCTTTATTGTGCAATTTGACCCTTCCATCAGTGTCATGACCTTTCCTGATCTATTTTTCAAACATACCGCCAAATATGCTAAATTATTCAGTGTGCGACATTTTGAAAGTAATGCTCGGTTTCCTCAATCTTCAAATTAATTTTTTTTAACATTAATCTCTTGGGCAAGGTCATGACCTCTTCGTCATGCTTTTTAAAAGCAAAGCATTCATTCATTACAATTTTTTAACATATTTCTTGACTTCATCGCTCCAATCACTCTTGAAATCTATTTCCAAATATGGCCATGATCGCTTTGTTATGTCTTTCACAGACGTTAATGAGTGAGCCAAATCATCCAATTCAAAGTTTGATGCAAATTATTAAGCCTTGTTCGATGAGTTTCTAGATACTCAAAGCTTTCTTCCAGAATGTTCACAACCTGTTCACTTATATTTCCAGAATTATTTTAAATGAGTCAAATATCTTGACGATAAAACAATCATTCAATCTAAAAACTTGCGCAACCCCTTCAAAGTACCTGGAATTGTTCTAGTCATTATTCACGCTAACCAAACATGATGACCTGCAAATACCTTTCAAAAACTCGCTGAATGATTTTAAAATATTAAGTACCTAGCCAATTCATTTCAGTCCTTACCTTGCGTATGTCTCATTTTTAATTTCGCCAGTAATAATCTTTCTTCTGCAACCCTCCATAATCTCTACTTTAGTCAATTTATTGGCTTCTGCACTTGCTAATTTTTTACGAATTCGTTGTCATTTATTTATCGTGAACTTCTTAACCTTTATGGTTGGTCCCTCTAATCCCTTCTTTGTTACAACTGACAAATTTCTTCCCAATACTTCTTTACTTGCTTGGTAGAAACCAATTGCTCACAGCTGATGGCATTTGTCCCCTTCCGTTCTTTTGCTATGTCCCTTCTCATGTGTAGTAATGTGTCTGTATGTATGTGTACGTGTCTGTATGTATGTGCAGTACCTTCCACCTGCATGTGTTGTGGGAATTCGATAATAAATAGTTTTCGTTGCAGCTCATCTGGACACCATGTGGTGTTAGGATGTATGTGTGTGATTTTATGTCTATGTACATGTATGTGTTATGTGTGTGTGGGTGTGTGTGCGTGTACGTGCGAGCATGTGTGCATCACTTGTCCTTTCCTTGCTTTTCACTGCTTTCTAAATTGTTTTTGAGTTATAAATGTCACGTCATATTATTAGCGCTGTAAAAAGTAGAAAAGAAATGCATAATTCTTGCCATTGTATTTGCAGAACAAATTATCAGAAATGATTTAAATCAATTCAACTCAAACATTACATTTGTTAACTGATGATAATAACTCAGTACCATATCAAAACCAAGTACATCAGATTATGACTCATCCATCATACACTTGAGATCAATCTGAGACTTACATCTATTGATCCGTAAATACAAATTTGTAGTAAAATTTGCCAGTCAATGACTAATTTATTTAATCCTGAATAAAAAACTTAAAAAATAGGCATAAATTATTGAAATATATATGCGAGTAGATATCCAATACCCTTTGACCTTCGTAACATAAGTCTTTCGTACTCTTTGATCTTTTTCTAAACTTTAACAGTTGTTGCCTACAACAAATGTGTTGGTCACGGTATTCGATGTCCTCCGACCTTTCTTATATAAACTTATAGCCCTTTTTACCTCTCTAAAATCTACATTATTGTCGATTATAATCGAATAAAAATTAGGATGACTTTCCCTTATTTTTGTCAGTCAAAAAAAAAGATATGCATTTTTAATATTTTATCATAGTTTATTTATACCATTACGCAAATCTATTAGAGTTACTGATTTAGTCATATACTTACACGTTCAAATTCGTAACCGTTCATTTCACACAAAGGTCAACTTTGTAGTAAATAGTTCAACAAAAATCGGAAATTTGCTATTATGCTTTCACATTTCTTAATAATGTGAAAAACTGTCCAACAAAAAAAAGCAAGACTTTATTGCATTTTAATTTGTTTACATTTCTTTTGATAAAAAAGCGATTAAAAATATGAATAAAATAATACTCAAAATGCATTTATTACCTCTTTTTACATTTATTAAAAAATATATATTTATTACTTTCTAATCAATAATACGAAAAAAAATTCGTTACAGCTCATTTGATTAGACAGAGACGATTAACAAAATTGCGGTACATGAGGACATTCATATTCGGGTCAACACCTATTGGCCTTTTTATTATGATTATTATCGTTAATATATCACATTCACTACTCATTTCGTTTCCTTGACTGTCACCATTGCCATTTTAATGAAATATCGCTATTGTTATCATTGTTGATATCACTAATCACTATTTACACGTAGTACTTTTCATTTTGTTTATCGTCTCAAAATTGTTTCATGCCACTTAAATCTCGTTGCTTTTTAGCTAAAATGTTTTGAAATAAATTAATTACAAATTTTAACTTAAACTGTTGAGACAAATTTCAATAAATAATAACATTAATGATGAAAGTAATGATTGTCATGCATGGTATTACGCTGTAGACTAGACACAAAGAAATATGTGAAATATTACAAAAATTTTAAAAATGTGAAATACCAAGCTCTAGATTTATTAAAATAATTATTAATTTCTTAGTTTCACATAATTACTAAAAATATAATATTCTATCCAAACAAACGTGTAAAAAGGATGGATACTGCAAGGTAGAAGCCAAAAGAAAATAGCTCTGAAACTACGTATTTCACGTGTGCTATGGGAAAAAATAAACCATTTGAAACTTTAAAGTAAGCAAAAAGAACAGAGCGAAGGGATATTTGTGAAATAACTGGCCAACCAGGTACAAATAACTTTTTTAACAATTTATCACTGAGAAATTTTCAAACCTAAAATCAAAATTTATTAGAGAGCTGTGAAAAAAAAACTGATCGGAATTCTAAAATTAACGAAGTTCTTGTTATTTTACTTGTGCTAAATGAGGTTCAACGTCGTAGCGTTAGAACCATGTTATACCGATTTGCGTTATTCCAATTAGTGCAATAAAAATATGAGTTAAGTCAATATTCCAAGACAGAAAAATACATCCTATACGTCAAAGTACCTGAAAGTTTTATATCGACAAATCACTGTTAAAAACAAAAAACATGATGATCGTCGAACTTTGTCATTACCAAGCATTGGTCCTAAGCAGAACACAATAATATTATGATGCAAATATAAATAGTAAAATTATTGCTAATTTTAATGTTTAAATTAAATTTAAAAGTCATTACTGCATCGATCTACATTCTATGTATCCAACTTTACGTAGTTATTGAGTATCACAAAAATCCACGTATAATCTAAAAGTTCATTTCCACGTATTTTACTGATAAGGTTTTAAAGATAAAAACTCTTAAACTGAACTCATAATTGGCATCACAAAAAGTTCACTTACTTTGGCTAACCATTCAAGTAAATACAAACATTAATTCTTCCACGTTTTCAAAGAAATGCATGATTACAACATGTGATTAGTCTCATAAAATATATAAATGTCACAAACTTAATGCTTACATTAACATCATATCAGTAT